CTCGTTAGGGAAGTAAGCCTAACAAGTATGAAATGAGAGATTCCTCGAAACCCAAATTATATTCGCATCTAAAATTGCGAGTTATAGATTTATGAGTCCTCCTAAGCAACACACAAATCAAAACGCTTAAAGGAATATATAAATTAAAAGGACATTTATGTTCAAGTCATATCGCTTACATTATTCCAGAGACATTTGTTTTATTAAATTAACAGAACTTGAATACTCATAAAGGAATACATGAAAATTATTTAACAGACAGATAAATTCAAATATATACAAGGCACTCTACATTATATATAATGTATAATTAAACCTAATTTGGCTTCCAAGCTTGATGTGAAATCTAATAGGCATATTTTCGTTCTTCATTTGTACATATGATGTAACGTCTTTCATAGGGGCTTAAATAGGAAAAGATTAAAAAATGATAAAGCTATAGATCGGTCAAAAGAGTTGCATATCAGGTCGGTAAAAGCTGGATAAGAATATCTTTTGAGAACCGGTGCTGTGCAAAATTCACTGAAAAAGTTCGGCCTAGTTATATGATTGAAAAAAATTTAACTATCATTTATTTATCACTTTAAATTAACAGAGGTAGGAAAATGCTCATAAAGGATTTTCATATCAGATTTAATGTAAATAATTATATACCTCTTACCGGTTAAAGAACCTATACATGATTTTTAAACTGAAACAAATAGTAACAAGAACAAACTTGTTAAATTTACTTTTGATTAATAAGATAATTAATTTACTGACAGACTAAAAAAGTAATGCATTAAAAAATAGTAAAATATTCTAAACAATTAGGGAGAAATCTTTTTTTAAAAGCAGTTTAAATAACGTATACCAACATTTAATAAGGCCATTCTACTTTCAAAAAATAAATATGACATATTAAATTTCATCAATTGTTTTTATTTGAATTTTTATAGCATCTGCTTTAGTGTTTATTTTTGCTTTTCTAGTGCCGCCTTCTTTGCTCGTTTATTGGCATGTCGCTTGTTCTTTCCCATTATTCTACACGTTTATTGAAATGTGCTTACTATTCTCTTCTCATTTAGTACTATATATTTTTATTTAAAAATGTTCGAATGGTTTTCTTCCAATTCTTCTGGAATAACCTCTCATAAACCACGATATTTAACCTTCTTCTATGGCAATGAGTTCGTATGTGGTGGGGTGGCTTCCTTTGTTAATGTCACATTAGTCTATCCATTTCATAAAACCGTTTTTTTTCAGCAGTTAAATGGCACTACTTGGTGGGAATCAGCTCTTAAGTTGCATCGTGAAGGAATGGCTAATGTTTATAGAGGGTTTCTTCCATCCCTTCTGCAGCGTTGTGCCACTGGCTCCCTAATGTTCGGTGTACAAAGCAAGACAGAAGATTTTTTTGTTAAATATTACGAATTTAATACTGTTTCATACCTTTCAAAAAAAGTTATTTCTTCCATAGTTGCCGGCTGCTTTGAGGCCACTTTAATGCCATTTGAAAGAGTCCAAACCATCTTGCAAATGTCAAAGCATGCAAATTCTTACAAAAACACTTTTCATGCAATCTCTAGTCTTGTTAGATTGCATGGTTTAACAGAACTATACAGAGGTCTTTCCCCCGTGCTTTGTCGTAATTGCTTTGGAAACGTTTTATATTTCTGCGGCTGGGATGTCCTGAATAATATCCGACAAAAAACGAGCCCAAGTGAACATAAGACTTCACCTTTATGGAGTTTTATTGTTGGGGGTCTACTTGGTGCATGTATTGGAGTTGCCTGTTTCCCAATGAATGTTGCAAAAGCCAAAATGCAATCGAAAGTTGGGGGTGGGTTTGAGCATCTGCATACTACAATATTGGAACTTGTACACGAAAAGGGAAGGGTTTCCAGATTGTACCGAGGAGTACCTGCCAATTTCGTTCGGTCTATTATCTCATGGGGTATCACAACTGTTACGTATCGTACACTATTGGAATTACAATATCCGGTATAAACACTAAATAAGTTTTATATTCTGCTTAAATAATTTTTATACTTAACTTGTACAGCCTTAGATTTGTATATTTACATTCTAGCTTTATTCGCTCTTATCCCATGATTTTTTAACTTTATCTAAAGCGCTTAAATTATACGCTACAGTCTTTCTAACCGTCTTATTTCCTTTAAAGCTGGCCTATTTTAGGTTGTATTAATCTATCATGGATATTGTATATTCACTTATAATGTTGTTTTATACACTTATGGATCCCGGCCTTATTTGAATGCGTATTTACATAGGCAATTTTATATACTTTCCTTATCTTTTTTTATATACCACACCAAGGTTGCTTGATCTTAAGGACTTTTTACAATTGTTTAGCACACTTGCA